CCGCGGCCGCCGCCTGCAGTCCTCGCCTGCCCCTGGCCGGGGGCATCGCCGGGCCGCGGTCCGCCCACCCCTCGCCCTACCCGCTTGGCTCGCTTCCTTTTGAACGGAAAGCAGCCCTTCTCCGCTGAGAGGATCGTCCCCGGCGTGGCTCCGCGTTCCTGGTCACTTTTTGAGATTTTCCGGGGACCGCTCGGCTGCTTCTCGGATTCCAGGGGGACTCGGGCCGCCGAGCGCGGCGGGCCAGTGGAACAGGCGAGCGGGGAAGCGCCCCGGCTTAGCGGAGGCTCTCACGGAGGCAAGAACTTATTCAACAAGTTTACCCCCCCTCCCCCTGCTTTTCTCTTTTCGATGTGCGTTTTCGGACATGCGGAGGTTACTGGAACCGTGTTGGTGGATTTTGTTCCTGAAAATCACCAGTTCTGTGCTCCATTATGTCGTGTGCTTCCCGGGTGAGTACCGGCCGCGGAGGAGACGCGGCCCCGGCCGGCGCGCGGGGGATGCAGAGTTGTCGCCGGCGCGCGGAGCTCTGTGCCTGTCCTGGGGACCCTGGAGAGGATGGAGGGGGGCCGGTCGCCCGGGGAGGAGAGAGGGATTCGCTCCGCTGGCTCTGGCGACATTTTGGGAGGCTGGTGGTCGGGGTGGGTGGTTGCCCGGGGAGGCCAATTGGGGACGCGAAGGTCTGTTCCCGCTCAGATTTGGGGGACCTGGGGGAGTGGGAGTCGGAAGAAAAAGAGACTTGCTTTTCTGATCCGCCGTGATCCGCCGCGGATCAGGAGAGCTAGAGTTGTCGGGCGGTTGGGGAAACCAGCCAAGGGAAGGATGCTTCTGTGGGTTAGGGGGTCCCGGGATGCGTCCCTCCCTCCGGCGGGAATCGAAGGAGCTTAGAAGGAGGAGCTCGCTTTGCTGCTCTCCGACCCTTTGGGAAGGGTGGTCTTGGGGGGATGGCAGCCCGAGGCTGGCTGCAGAGGATGTGGGAATGGGGAGAAGCCTGCGTTCTAGTCTCTGGGGCTAGGGGCGCCCCCTCGGTCTCTTTCTTGGGGCTGGGGCGCCGGCCGCTCTTTGGTGCCAGCGCAAGGCAGCCTCTCAGGGCGCGGGGGCCTGGGCACAGTGGGAAAGCAGGGGCAGGCGGGTTAGTGAGGTTCGTGGCTCCCCCAGCCCCGGCCCCTTCCCTGCTCTACAGCTCTGGGCCCCTGGGGTCCGGGCGCCGGGGGCGGGTCGGCAACTGTGTTGCTATTCGCGCCGGGGCGGATTTTTTCCTGTCTCGCGCGCCCTGCCTACCTTCATCTTTGCCCTTTTGCAGGCTGTTCGCGGCTGGCAGACCCAGACCCGCTCCTTTCTGGCCAGGTTAAGACAGGAACAGTATTGGCTATTGATGACGATAATAAATCACTGCACGTAACGGTGTGCGGCTGGGCGACCCTCCACTTCCAGCCATCAGCCAGTGGATCCCCCTCCTCTTCCTTCAGCGAGGGCAGAGGCCAGCCGCCCCACTCTCCCCTCCCACCAGCCCCCTGGGCTGCAGCCCCGAGCTTCCTGGAAGCTTTTCGGGCCCCCTCCCTGGGGGTGGAGGCCACGTCTTCTGCCATAGCTGGGGAAGGGATGAAAGAAAGGGGGCGAATAGCTTTTTATCCCTAGCTCCTCTCACGACAGAGTAGCCCTGTTTTTTCTGTCCTTTTATCCACCAGCTCCTGAATACCCGGAGGTGGGGATTATCTGTATCGAGAAAAAGAGGAACATTCCCTGATATTTCTGCTCTCCCTGGTTACAGCTGCCTGGCTCCCGGCGGCCAGAGCACACCGTTTTGGTGCAGCGGGTCCCTCAGCCCCGCCGTGCGCCCAGAGGAGGGCGCGGGCGCCCTTGCTGCCCTCGGGGCCCTTCCCAGGGAGACTTCTAGCGAGTGCCCCTTTTGCGGGCTCCGGGGTAGCCTCGAGGGTCCGAGAGGCAACGCACCGTCTTCTTCCGCACCCCCCTTTCTCTCTGTGCATCCTGCTGCCCTCAGAGGCTCAGGAGCTCCTGCCGCCGTCCAGAAACCCGGTCCTGGGGCGGATGAGGCGGTGCGAGCGCATTCACTCTGAGGCCGAGGGTTTGCTCACCAGGGGCCTGTCTGTATGGGGGTAGGGGTCGTGGGGACGTCTACCCTGAGAAACAGCTGCCCTCTCTCCCTTAGAGACCACTATTGAGTATTTGTAGAAATCATATCTGCCTTCTAGACTCTTCTTTACCACAGACTTGACGGTTGAGTGGGTGTGCACCCAGAGGTCGAGCTTTGAGAGGGCCACTTTTTTATTAAAAAGGGGATGGTGGGAGGCAGCGGAGGGCAGCCTTGCGAATTCAGAAGAATTTCCAATTCTACTTCTGGCCTTCTCACGCTTGAGGATGCAGGCAGTGGGCTGGTCCTGATGTCCCCTTTTCTGGTGTCTGAGGAAGCTTGAAATTCAAAATGAGACTGCCAGGGATGCCGCCTTCGTGGGGCTTGGACCTTTTCGTCTTCCTTTTCTTTGCATATCCACGATGCGAGGTAAATAGCCCTTTTCGCAGTCCAGGCACCAAGGGGTGTTGAAAGGGAAAGGCTCAGGGAAGAGGGGGTTTGGTTTTTACAAAGCGCAGACCATGGGTGCTGCAGCCTTTGGAGCTGGACAAAGTTAAAATGTCAGAGGCGTGGGAGACAGGGGCTTTCCGTTTTCAAGGATGCCGCGACGCCGCTGGACCTCAGGGGGCGCCCCCGAGCCACTCGTCAGGCGCCTGCCACTTCACTGGTCGGCCTCAGCCACCTCCATGCCGCGGGGACTGGGAACGCGTGCCCGGGTTCCGAGGCACTGGGAGGCGGCGGCCTTGTCTGGGCGCTGCAGCTCCTGGCCAGCTTGAAAAAAGTAGGAGAGGAAGTTCGCTTTGGGACTCGCACCGTCTACCTGCCACCGCCTTAGGAACCTTGATCTATTTGACGCGGGATAAAAACGCTTCTGGTTTTGGATTAGGGTCCTCCTTGTGAGATCTTAGCAAAATCCTCTTGTTACTTAGTTATTTTGTTTGTTTCCTATGAGAGTCGCAACAACTTTTCAGTTGCAATTAATTCTCTGCTTCTGTTAAGGATACAGAGTAGCAACAGTTCAGGGGAAGGCTTTTGGCATAGGTCTTTTCCCAACGGAAACAGTGGCTTTCAGTCTTCCAACAGCAGCGAGGCAGGTGTGGAATCTGTGTTAGGTTTTAGTGCTTCAAGTCATGCTTTCCAAGTGCAAAGCACAAGCGTTCTCAAACATAGCATTAGGCATATTAAATTCTTCTACATCTTAAAAAATTATAGAAAACAGTAACATGAGAAAATTATACTAGACTCCCTGTATGCCCCATACCCACTCTCACAAATGAGCAACTCAGTCTACTCTAATTCATTTCCACCCCTTCAGCCTCCAAAACACATTATTTTAAAGCAAATCCTACACATAGGTTATTTAAATATTTGATACAAATCTTTAATCATTGGGAACTTAAGTGCCTTGGACAAGATATAAAAATTTGATCCATTACTTGAAAGGGTTAACCTTTTATCTATTTCCTATTTTCTAACTATGCAGCAGAAACTTTTTTATGATTTTTTTTCTTTTTTGGCCCTCAGAGTGATATTCTTTGCCTCTGATATGTTTTGTACAATAATTACATTACATCCACAGGGTTGCTGTTAGAAGCCCTTCAGATAAATCTGCTCAGCTGTGTGCCTTGGAAGTGTCCGAATTGGACAATCCATAGCTGATGGCTGGTGAATCCAGACTCTCCCTCTCAGACATCTCTTCTTGTCTTCACACGCATGCTTTCGTGTTGATGAGTGTCCCTTAAAACTTTCTCAGAAAAAAGGCAAAAGTAATCATGAGAAGTTGGCAATGTTACTCTCAGAAATGGGGAGAGAGCATACAGGTCCCCCCCCCCATTTGAAAAAAAAAAAATCTTTATCCAGTTTCAAAACTGGGTCTTTTAGACACAGTTTTGGAACGAAATCTTTGATGTTTCCTTCTAAAGAATGCTCACAGTAGAGGGTTGATGAAGTATAAACATTAATATAAATAGACATAATAGGACTTTAGGAAATAGGGAAAGTTAAAAAAAAATCACAGGAAAAGAGTGGCTGATATGAGAAAGGAGACTGTCTTAAAGTGAATCTATGAGTATCTCTTCTTAAATGTGGATTTGTTTTCACTGAATGAAATCCTGTATTTTCGTTTACAAGAAGTAGTCCCTGGAATACTGGCGGTTTAATGAAGCAAAACAAAACCAAACCCTTTCAGATTTATCTTTCTGTTCTGAAAAACCCCCAAGTTAACATAGTGGTACTCATTCTATCAGGGCGTCAATTGAAAGAAGTTTCTTGACATTCATATAAGATCATTTACAATGCCCTAGAGCAATTATTACTAGGGAACTCCTCCTACCCTCTTACCTTCCTACACTCCATTTTCCTGGAAACCTATTAACAAATAGACAATCTGGGCACTTAAATTAGCTTACCTAGGTCATGAAAGCACAATAAGCACTGGGAGTGGGTTGTTGCTTTAACATTTTCCTTTTCAGTGAAATGCGCCCCCACCCTCTTAATCTGGATATTCATCCAGCATTTTACTCAAAGCATGTGGGAGAGTGCAAGGTCATTTCTAAGCAGGTTGAAGATTTTGATATGGGTTACGTTTTGAATTGGGAGATTTAAACCATTATAATTAACATTTTCATCCTGGGACTTATTTTTATGTGGTCCTCATTTTATAACCTGAAGATTATGGGGAAAAGTCAGGGCCTCTGAAATGATCGGAAAACCATTCGAGGCCTTCAAATAAGAACGCTTTGGTTACAGGGTGACCACTATCCATGGTGGGTGGTAGTTACTGAAGCTGCGTTTTGGGCTTTGCTGTGTAGAGAATAAAAGGCCTTTGTATCTAATAATACGAAATCAAGGAAGAACACCCTGCCCTCACTTCTGGTTCTCTCTCTGAGCTTGATCTGGATAAGGCTAGTAACCACTGGTTAGGTAGAGGAAGGCGTTGGGTGAGGGAGAAATGTTCTGGAAAGAGCCTGCTCCCAACAGGCTGTGAGAGCTTCTTGTGGAATTTGCGGACATTCACCGAATTTGTGGAGTTATTGCTAAAACAATCACTCTCAAAGAGACAAGTGTGTTTCAGAAATCTTTATTGACTTACCCTTCCATTTTTCTACAGTCCTTCTGTCTCACATTTTAAAGGCCACAGACCTGTTAATGTCTCTTTTAAAAAAAGGTTCTGGGAGTGGGTGAATTTCACTTTCCAAAAAGTCTATGACGATTGAAATGTATAACAGATAAAGTCATTATTTTTTTTTACTTATATTATGAAAGGGATTGCTAGGTTTGTAAGTGATGGCTGTGAACAATTGCTTTAAGTAGCTAGAGGGCTTCCATGAGCACTTTTGTCCCCTCCTGTGGGACACCTGT